ATTTTCTAAAAATGTATAGTAGTAAACTTATATGACCTTACCAATGTAACCTCAAAATATAGAAAGCAAAACTGACTAAATTACTAGAAAAAATGGGAAAAAATTGTTATAATGGAAAATTTTAACTGATCTTTTAAAAATGTTATATAAAATTGACAAAAATATTTAGAATTTAAATTTAAACAAAAACATTAAACACTTTAAAATCTATATAAAATGCTGTATCCATTAAATAAAGAATACACATTATTTTCAGGTACATGTGGAACACTTAAAAAGTGATCATATGTTAGATCACAATATTTTCAAAGAGATAAAATAATAATGCCCACATTCTCTGTTCCCATGGCAATTAAATTGAATGTCAAACTTCCAAAAGTTTGGAAACTAAAAAATGCACTCTAAACAACAGATGGGTTAGAAAGGAAATCATAATGAAACAGAAAATATTTTGAACTGAAGAGCATTCGAATTATTACATATCAAAAAAGTATACAGCTAAAGTGATACTTTGAGGTAAGTATAACCCCCACTACCCACCACATACACACACTCCACCTACCCAGTTCCCTTCCCTGGAAATTGCTTATGTTTCCAGTTTCTTTTGTATTCATCCACAGATATTCAAACCATATGTAAGCATATATGTATAGGCTTAGTAATGTGCAAAACAATGTGTGTAGTAGGCTACCACTGGTATAAAAATGTTATAAGAAACATGTACAAGTTTCAGTTAATACATTTTGAAGATTTTCTTTTTTATGACTGCATTATATTAATTGTGCAACCTGTGAATGACTTGCATTAAAATCAGAAACAAGACAAGGATGCCCACTCTCAGGCAACTATTCAGTACTGGAGTATCTGTCTAAGGCAAAGCTGGAAAATAAATAAGCAGCATAATAATTGGAAGAAAAGAGGTGGGACTTTTTATATGCAGGCAATACAATTATCTGTGTAGAAATCCCTCCTTCCAAACCCGAAGAATATCCACTGTCAAATTATTCAAATGAATACGTGAGTTAAACAAAATTGCTGGCTGCAAAATCAACATTTTAAAAATGGTTAAGTTTATATATGCTCTAAATTCAGAATTTTAATTGAAAAATATCTAATCATAGCGTTAGGTGTCACATCCTCCAATCATCCTGAAAAACAAGAAAAGAACATGGTGCCTGCAAGCTAAAGCTTGAAAAATCCCAATTAAGGTGTTCTCTCTCTCTTTTTTTTTTTAAAAAAAAATCAGATTGCTTCATATTTGTCTGTGTCTGAGCCAGCGATTGTGGTGCAGAAAGAGATGAGATCTGTGATTAATAGTCGTTGGTAAAACAGATGAATGAGGCAAGGAAGGGAAAATTATCTCCAAATAGGTGGGGATCTACACATCTGTCTCCCCAGTAAACAGCTCATTAAGGGCAAAGACAATGTTGAATTGTCTCTTCAGCACCTAGGCTTAGCACTGTGTCTTACATGTGATAAAGTCTCAATAAGTAATCAGTGAATGAGTGAGTGCATGTAAGCCAGGACCAACAAGCCTGGATCAGCTTCTCCTTTTGCAAGACTACCCAGAACCCCCACAGCTGGGGATAGAGACTCTTCACCAAGCCCCAGCTGAGTGAGTGGGAAATGAGGGAAGTAGCTTTTGGTTGAGATTGATGGGATCACTTAGAGGACAAATGTGACTACTATCCAAGGCACTGATGCAGGACCCTTGAAAGGAAGTGCTCACATTGAACTTGACTGTGCCCAACATGGTTAGTGGTTTCCAGAAGTGTAGGGTCTTCCGTGCATTGGGAAATGAGGACAGCCTCTCATTTTGCCCAGAATTTTATGGGACTGGTTCCCTTTTATTTTGTGACCTAAGAGAAGTAAGTGATCCTGTCTTATTTTCTTTTTTTGAGACACGGTCTTGGTCCGTTACCCAAGCTAGACCATAGTGGCATGATCATATCTCACTGCAGTCTCCAATTTCTGGGCTCAAGAGATCCTCCAACCTCAGCCTCCTGAGTAGCTGGGACTAGGTAAGATCCACTATATCTAGCTAATTTAAATATATGTGTGTGTGTATGTGTGCAGGTGTGTTTGTGTGTATGTATATGTACGTGTGTATTAATATGTATATGTATATATACACACACATATATGTATTTGTAGAGATGGGATTAACATAGTTAATGTTGCCCAGGCTGGTCTCAAACTCTGACCTCAAGAGATCCTCCCACCTCAGCTTTCCAAAGTTCTGGGATTACAGGCATGAGCCACCATGCCCAACTGATCTTGCCTTTTAAGTACAGACAGAACCTTCAATGCTGCTCTCTTCAGCCTCAATACCACCGCTAGTTAAACACAAAATGAGACAGTGAGAGGAAATTGACATTTGAATATACCCAGAGATTGATGGAAATCTTTCAGGAGCAAGGACTCCTTCTGTGTCTTTGCCCAAGCCATGCCTTTTGCTGTAACACTACATTGTCTCCTCCCAAGGCCCAAGTTTTGTTTGCCCTTTGAGGCTCAACTCATATCACACTTCCCTGGGGAAGCCTTCCATGACTATTCTCCTTAGAGGGCATTTCTCTGGACACTGAACTCCTGTAGCACCATCACCAATATCTAATTCTCTTATCTGTGCCACATTTTCTCCTCTTGGAGACTTTTCTTCCTCCCAACACTTTGGAAATCTGATGGATTGTCAATCAAGGGGAACTGTCTTCCCATCATCTGAGGAGCCGTAAAACTCAGGCTGGTCAACCTGAGTACGCCATTCACCAGGACACAGTGATGGGTCCAAGAGTGGGCAAAGGAACAAAATGGACTCTGGGCAAAGGAGGCTTTCTCTCCTTCTGAAGGACCATGGCTGGAACAGATGAACATCAGGTTTTATGCAACAAGGAAAACGTGTCAAGAAGTGAGGGCACACCGAGGAAAGCGAAACTGAGAGATGGGCAGAGAATATCCTGATTATATCACAAGAGTGCCCTGGATTGAGCTGTGCCTGGAGCCAGACTACTCTACTACTTGAGCCACCTCCTTTCCCTTTGTCTTGAAGTGCTCTGAACTTGAGTTCCCTCAAACCAAGAGTCTTGACCAATTAATTCTCCCTCTTATTATTAGGACCATTTATTTGGCACATAAAATTATTGCAACCCAGTGAAGCTGGTTCAATGTCTCACTTTTTTACAGAAAGACTTGACTAAACTCTGCTGTATATCAGGGCCATCAGGCCAGACTCTTGGTTTCTTTCTGTATCAGCCCTTGTTTCTTCATTTTGTAAAAAATTGTTTTTCAACCTTTCTTTTTGCACACTTTTTTCTCTCCATATGGTCTATCATGCTTTGGTGTCAAAATAATTTAGAGGCACATCAAATTGCTTACGATAGCTTATGCAGAATTTCCACTGCTCTCTGGCTCAGTCTGAGCCTCCCCCTCTGGGTGTGTGTGTGTGTGTGTGTGTGTGTGTGTGTGTGTATGCTGTCTCCTTCCCTCACTCACTGCTCCATTTAGGAAACAGGTGTGCACAACCTCACAACCCCATTCTCCAAATGCCTCCTTCTCAGGTCAACACCTCATTTGAAGATAGCCTTTGCAGAATCAGGTGCTTGGTTGAGAAAGGATCCCTCCCCTAAGGCCTCCGGGGGCCCCCAGATTTAGGACGCCCCTGGGTGTTCTCTGGTGCAGTCAGTCATCTGTGTTCAAGGAGCCAGAGAGCAGGGATCTGGCTAATTCTCCTGTCACCATCTCAGGCTCTACCTTAACTTAATCACCCTTTTATCATGTACTTGTTCTAGAGCCCACAATGGCTCCCTAGTGTTACCCACATCTAAACCAACCTCGTGCCAGAACCTGCCCTGCTTAGGCTAACTTCCTTCCCGCACATTCTCTCTCCATCCCCCAGATTGGTGGGCTGACCCTCTCCCTGCTTCAGAAAAAAATATCCAGCTCATTCTCCCCTCAAGGCTTTTGCTGTTTGTGCTCTTCCTGTCTGGAATACCCTTCTCTCTTCTTTCTCCCGCCTCCAAATCTTATACAGCCCACTTCAAGTCCCTCCTGTTCTGTGCAGCCTTCTCTGATTTTTCTAGTTCATGATTTGCACCTTTTCTGAATTGCTCCACAGTTAGGGCCATACAGCTTGTTATTTAGCTGTTGCACACTTTGGTATTCGAATCTATCTTGCCCCCTTACTGAAATATGTGTTTCTTGAATTTAAGGACCATTTCTTAAGCATGTTTTATTCCCCTCACTCCATCTCAGCATCAAGCATGGAAACAGTTGCTCACACATGGTAGATCATTGGTGGCATAGGCATCGTCCTGAGAATTTGTTTTAGAAATACAGATTCCCTGGATTATCCCCTGGAGAGTCTGACTTTTAATAGGTTTGGGGTAAGATGCTTGGATCTGTGCTTTTAAAAGCCCCATGAGGTAAGGCATTGCTGAAGCAAGTTTGGAAAACAGCTTGGGTGAATATATTGTTGAACCTCAAATCAAGATACTCATCTGACAAGCTCAAGTATTTTTATGAGAAAAAGCCACAGGATATTTTAAATGTGTAGAGACTTGGAAATCCCAGGCTGTGTGGTTCTCCTGCACTTGGTGATGGGGTTCCATTTTGGAGGTCATATGGTGTGATGGCTAAGAGCATGGGCTTGGAGTCTGACAAGGGTTTGAGTCCTGGTTCACTCCGTGGGACTTTGAACAATATAACCTCTCTGAACCTTCGCTTCCTCCTCTCTTAAATAGAAGTAAAAATAGAAGCCACTTTCCAGGATTAGTGTGAGAATTAAACAAGGTCCCATATGTAAAGCACTCAGCTCCATGCCTGGCACAGAATACATATTTGTAACAAGTACTAGTAGGTGTTAAATTATTGAAGCTGGAAAATCTGCCAGCTTGTAGGAAGTTTTCGATCCAGGAAACTCTATGTTGGTGAGGCACACTCTCCTTTGCTTTTGAGAGGGAGCACTTGGGAAGACCTCTTAGTCCTAATGCAAGTGCTTACCCACCACTGGGGAGGAGGAGCCCAACGACATGAAGCAGCTGAAACGCAGACTGATAAGTTAAGTGCTCTATTTATTATGCAAATTGGGAGTGCTCCCAGCACTATCTCCTTGCTGAGTTAGAGAACGTTTTCCTTCCTCAATCTGTATTTACACAGCACCACAACTGGAAATCATTGTTTCTTGGAAGTGTGTGTGCCCTTTCCCTTTCTTTGCCCACAGGAGATTGAGGGGACATCCGTAGCAGAGGGACAGAGAGCCTGGACTTTTCACTCCTAATGTCAGAGGAAAGACTATGACCAGGACCTAACCTGGGCCAGGATGGTGTGACCACCAGATGATGTCATTTAAGACCAGCAAACCCAGGCTTTAGAAATGCATTAGCTGTGTCTTATAGGAGGCAGGGGGACAAGCCCAGCAGGTGGAATGGGGCTTTGCATGCAAGCAATAGATCAGTGGATCAATGAATCAACAGGCCAGTGAATCACTTGCCAAATGGGTTTCTCCTACAGGCCATGAATACTCCCATGGGTCAAGAAAAGAATAGGGTCTTAGGTGGGCAGAGGAAAGCTTTCCTCTCCTCTTCGGGACCAACAGGCACTTGGATCTGTACTATGAGGGGACAAGAAGCTGGGAAAGTGTCATTCTGAGGGAGGTTCATGGCCTCTGATGCCATTTTTGGGACACGGGTTCAATCGTTCTGTGTCACATGGCGTTCTGCCAGGGAGGTGGGAACTCTCCGCTCAAGCAGTAGGTGAAAAGCCCTCTCGTTTAAGCTTCAGTTTCCATAATTTTTGACAGGATCTCACGGGAAGAATTTAGTGGCAGAAATAACTCAGCAGAGATCATCCCTTCCTGGGGTGGGAGTCTTAATGGCAGTTAACATCAGAAAAGCTAATGGGGTAACCCAAGAAATCTTCCTGGAGGAGGAGATGTTGGCTGAATCATCAATTGGCTCATATCACTGAGCCAAATACTTGTCATTGGCTTTGGGGGGTCAACGTAGGCCCCACAGCCCCCCTCATCATCCTCAGAATTGGCACTCCCCAATGCCTCACAGGGATGATTTCAGGGTTCAGAAATTGTGACTCCCAACCCCCTTGGGTAAACTTCCCTTCCATCATGCAGGGCCATCTCCCTGGTCTTGGCTTGCCCTGTGACCACACCGCATTATCCTTCCACATGCCCTGACACACGCTTCGAAATGCCAGAGTTATCATGAGTCCGGCCTGCCAGGAGCGAGGTTTGCCAAAGCCATGTCCCAGCCAAGCGGGTGGCCTGCAGAGTGAGCCATAGGACTGCACTCAGTCCAGTTCCAAGCTGGAAGGTGAGGGCAGCCTCCCAACTATTTCTTCCAACCTCAGAAACGATTTAGTGCTGGCAGTTCACACGAGGTCCCCCTGACATCTCCAGTCAGGAATGTAACTTGCTGTGGATTCTGAGGCAAAGAGGCAAAGAGAAGACCATTAGGAAGGAGGGAAGTCATTAGCAGACGGGATGACCAGCATGCACGAGGGACCCATCTGCCTTTCCCCGAGGTGCCCAAGAGCTTGTGTGTGGGTCAACTTGAGCCTTCCAGGATTCTTTGACCACTTGAGACCCAGAAGATCAAAGGTCTGGTAGCCACAACCCTCTTTGAATCCATAAATCCTTGCCTCTCACAAATAAAGGGAAGAAAAGGTGTCAGGAGGCAAAGTTGTAGCTAGCAGTTTTGCCAACATGCATGGATTGCAAACATTATTTAGTAAAAGGGTTCAAGGATGGAACAGAGGAGGAGTCAGGAACTCCATTCTTGACCACCTCAAAGCACCCTTGACCTCAGGGGAACTCCTGCTGCCGACTCCCTGCCCTTGACCTTCAGTCCTGCTCCATACATTTTTGTATCCTCTAACATGCCTCTGATGTGGTCTGGCTGACAATTTCTGCTGGCTGCTACCCCCCAAACCAGGGCTGGCTTGGCTCAATACACAGAGGGCACTCTGGGTTCTAGAACATGTACTGGCTTGATACATAGTCATCCCACTGGTGGGTAGAGGGTACTCGAGCAGTGCTTCTCAAACTTTCATGTGCCTAGATTTATCTGGGGCTCCTGTTGAAGTGCAGATTCTGATTGAGTAATTTTGGGCGAGCCCAAGATTCTGCCCTTCTAGGAAAGCCACAGTTGAGGTTAATACTTCCAGTCCATGACTACACTTGGAAAAAGAAAGTGCTAGAAGGCTCAGCAGCTACTGCTGTGAGATCAGGGCTTGCAATTCTTGTACAGAGGTCCAAATAGCACACTCATAAAAAGACCAGCTGACTCCCTGCCCTCATAGCTGCAGCCACTTAGCCCCCACTAGCAGGCCCAACTCCTCCCCAAACTCAGGTACCCAACATCTTGAGAGATACAAAGGAGCTGTGGGGGTCGCTATTTCCCTCTATCCACTTCACCCTCCTCTTCTCAGTGTTAGACTCTCCTTTGCAATCTCCCAGCTTCCTGGGTTGACCAACCTCTCTGCTTCACCCTCCAGTGCCAGGCCACAACCTGCCTGCTCTTGCTATGGAATGAATGTGCATCCCCCAAAGTCATATATTGAAGCTCTAATCCCCAGTGACTATGATGATGCTAAAAGGTGGGGTATTTGTGAGGTAATTAGGTTTAGATGAAGTCACAAGGGTGGAACCCCTGTTCTGAAATTAGTGCCCTTATAAGAAAAGAAGGAGACCTTTTCTCTCTGACATGTGAGGACACAGCAAGAAGGTGGCCATCTGCAAGCCAGAAAGAGTCCTTACCAGAACATTGAATCAGCCGGCACCTTGATCTTAGACTTCCCAGCCTCCAGAATTCTGAGAAACTAATGTTTGTTGTTTAAGCCACACAGTCTGTGGTATTCTGTTATAGCAGGCTGAGCTGACTAGGATACTTGGAGTGTAGGATACTTGGAGTGTATCCTAGTCACTCCATACTTGGACCAGGCGGTCCCTTCATGGGCAGCACTAATGAATGAACACAGAGTTCTCCTCATTCCTCTAAGACCACCAGTGCCTCCTTTTCTGGGCCCCAGCTGGAAAGAGCAATCTCTGCCTTTTCCATGCTGCCACTATTACTTGGAACATATAACCATAATGTTAGTCACAGTGTGATTGTGATTCTGCATCTACATAATTGTCACTTCTTCTATCCTTGAGGGAGGACATAATAATGCAGAGCTGAGCACATAATGTATATTCATCGAATCAATGATGCTGTTATTCATGGTCCCTCTTCCTTGGGAGGCCCCTCCCTCATATCCTTGGAGATAGTCACTATGTCTATCCCGTAGGGGACTTTTCTAGTTTAATAGCTCCGGTTTCTCCAACCCCAACCAACTTCTCTATTTAGAAGTATCTAAGATGGTAATTCTCAAGCTTGGCTGCTTGTTAAAATTAACAGGGGAGTTTTAAAAATACTGAGTCTAACCCTTAGAGATTCTGATTTATTTGGTTTGGAGTGTGACCTGGCCATCGGGATTTTTTTTAAAAAACCCAATGCTGCTAATGTGCAGCTGGGTTTTAGAGCCACTTGGAGTCAGGAATTTTAGGTTCCCACCCAGCACTTTAGTCTCCAGACAGCACTGCTGTCCGGCCTGTTCTAATCGTAGGTCCCCCAGTGCAAGTGAACAAGCTCTTACCTTGATCTTGACACTAGTTCTTTCTATGAAGAGAGGGCACAGGGCTACACTAGTAAGGGACCAGAGGCTGACATGAGACAGATCCATCATTTAAATAGGCATGACTCGAAGCAATTGTCTGCACTTCTCTAAGCCTTCATTTCTTAACCAATAAAATGGGATCATGTGTAGTCAATTTCTACTGGATAACAGATCACTCCAAAACCTAGAGGCTGCATTAGTCCATTTTCATGCTGCTGATGAAGACATACCCAAGACTGGGCACTTTACAAAAGAAAGAGATTTAATTGGACTTACACTTCCACGTCACTGGGGAAGCCTCACAATCATGGTGGAAGGCAAGGAAGAGCAAGTCATGTCTTACATGGATGGCAGCAGGCAAAGAGAGCTTGTACAGGAAAACTCCCCCTTATAATAACCATCAGCTCTCATGAGACTTATTTGCTATCGTAAGAACAGCACAGGAAAGACCTGCCCCCATGATTCAATTACCTCTCACCAGGTGCCTCCCACAACACGTGGGAATTCAAGATGAGATTTGGGTGGGGACACAGCCAAACCATATCAGTGGCTAAAAGCACAAACATTTATTCTTTCACACAATTCTGTGGGATGGATGGGCAGTTCTGGTCTGGATGGACTCACCTGGAACTAGATGGTCTAGGAGGGCCTCCTGCAGATGTCTGGTTATTGGCTTGACATCAGCTGGGGTGACACAGATGGCTTGGCTGGTATCTGTGTCTCTCATCATCAGGCAGGCCATCTCAAGCTTGTTCACATTGTGGTCACCAGGTTCTGAGGGAGTGAGTCTCAAGATACTTTTCAAGCCTGTTTGCTAATGTCCCATTGGCCAAAGCTAGCATAGGGACCAAGGGGAAACTTCCCTTTCATTCTCCTGAGGTCTGCTGAAAATCAACTGACAAAAAAGGCAGATTAATAGGAGAAAAGACATACAAAATTTATTTTATGTACATAGCATGAGGAAATTGCCAGAGAATATTACTCAGTATCTCCATGTGGTCCAGATGCTTATATAACTTTCTCCATAGCAAAGAGGGGAGATGGGAAATGTTGATAATTCTTTTGAGGAGCAGTAAATGATTATTAGGGAGAATGAATGGACCCAGGAGACTGAAATTCAATTGTAAATTATTCTCTTTGGAATCTGAGCAAACCTGAGAGACAGATATTACCTCATAAAAAGGTCTAACAAGTTGTGGTTACATTACTCAGTCTTTGTTTCTGGGATAGACAATGAGATTTCAGGGATGGCACAGGAAGCAATTGTTCCAATTGGTGGGTCAAGTCTTCATGCAACTAAGGGAAAAGCCTCTTCCAGCATCTGCTGGTCTCCAATGGCCTTGAATTTGAAATATTCATCATACCAGGGTGCCATATTTTGGGGTAAAGTTTCTCTAGGCGTCTTCATTTATCAAGGCCAGCCCAGAGCCATGTTTGTTGCAGATGTTTCCCTGCAAGTCATGCCATTAATTCATTGATTCCTCCTAGAGATTGATTCATTCATTCATGTATCCGTCATAGCGATGCTGAGTGTCCGCTACATGCCAGGCATTGTAGCAGGTGCTATGAATTTCGAAACAAGTGAAAATAGATCCTTACTCCCAGGAGTTTTATCATCCACTAGGAGGGGCATGTAGGTAAATAGAACCCAGAAGTCAACTTGAACTTCAGATTGGTATTTGCATGTGTTTTCTCTGCTTTCGCCTGTTTCAACTTGTACACAGAAATCCTTCTCTTTAGAGTTCCGCATCAGACAAATGTGTTTGTAAGCAATACAGACTTTATGGGCAGCTTCACAGAGGAAACAAAAAAAGGGTAATATGGTACCCATCACATCAATGGGCCATCGGCTCAAACAACCCGTCAGATGTTTCTGTTCTTCCAAAGTTAAGGTGTCCGAACTCTCCCTTGGAGGAGCCCCATCTTCAACGGTTCCCTCTCTCCCCTTCCCAGAACCTCCTTCAGAAGTACACCCCTCTCCTCTCTGTTAGGCAAAGCGAAGCAGCTCTCTCCCAGCTCCCCCACATCAAAATATTTCTTCTCCAATTTACAAAATTAGATCCACCCTGCTTAGAAGTCAGCGTTGGAACCATCTTGTGCTGTTCAACCAGGCACTTTGGGATCTTATCTCTTGCCTCCTGTCATCCAGAACAATTTCTCAAATTGTTTATTCCAGTGTTCTCCCCAAGAAGATGTTTCTGAGTAAACATTTTCTTCATCTTCTTCCATATACATCTATGTCTAAAATCAAGCATGTTGAATTTTGTGCAACAGGAAAGAGTAATTTTTTTTTTTTTTTTTTGAGACAGGGTCTTAATCTGTTGCGCAGGCTGGAATGCAGTGACAAAAATGAACTCTGGTCGTCCTCACTGCTTATTATATGCCAATTATAATGCCTTAGCAAGCAAAAGACACTCCCACGAGTGTCATGACAGTTTACAAATGCCATGGCAACATCAGGAAGTTACCCTATATGGTCTAAAAAGGAGATGAACACTCAGTTCCAGGGCTTGCCCACTCCTTTCCCAGAAAACTCATGAATAATCCACCCCTTGTTTAGTATATGATGAAGAAATAATCATAAGTATACTCAATCAAGCAGCCCACACCACTGCTCTGCCTATGGAATGGCCATTATTTGTTTGCTTTCTTAATAAATGTGCTTTCACTTTACTCTATGGATTCGCCCCAAATTCTTTCTTCCTTTCTTTCTTTTTTTTTTTTTTTTGAGATGAAGTGTTGCTCTGTCGCCCAGGCTGGAGTGCAGTGTCGTCATCTCGGCTCACTGCAACCTCCGCCTCCCAGGTTCAAGCAATTCTCCCTGCCTTAGCCTCCCAAGTAGCTGGGATTACAGGCACCCACTGCCACTCCTGGCTAATGTTTGTATTTTTAGTAGAGACAGGGTTTAGTCCTGTTGGCCAGGCTGGTCTCGAACTCCTGGACTGAAGTTATCCACCACCTTGGCCTCCCAAAGTGCTGGGATTACAGGCATGAGCCACTGCGCCCAGCCCCCAAATCTGTTCAAGAACCCTCGTTGGGGTCTAGATTGGGACCTCTTCTGGTAACATTACCATAAGTGCCTTTTCTAGTTAGCTAACAGAGGAGAAAATAGACCAAGTCTTCACCTATTCACGGCACATAGAACAAGAAAGAAAACACAGTGGCCGTACGGTTTCCATTGTTTCCCCCAAATGTCTGTATGTCATTTTTTACCTTGGTTTTGTTTGACAGGGATGTGTTGTTGTTGCCTTTCACATGCTTTGGATCTAGACTAATCTTGGCACTCAGATGTCCCTTTGGCCTCACAGAATAGGATGCCTGGAATCAGAACAAGCCATGGAGTGCAAAGAAATTCCTCAGTCATGACTACATTATTTTGTTCTTCATATCAAAAGCAAGCTAGGTGAGAGAATTCATTCATCTTTTATCACACTGTAAGGGATAGAGGCAATTTTTCTCCCAGGATTCAGGACTAAAGTAGATGATCTTCCGGACTTCTCTGTGACATTTAACTGAAATTGCAATTCACCAAAAACAAACAAATGAAAACAAACAAACAAACAAAATCTTCCTTTTGAGAAGATCATCCCCAAAAGTAAAAAAAAAGAGTAGTAGTCCACTTGGAAGATGCAAAAAATGTAAGTACACATGTCATTTGAAGTGTGTATGGACTATTTCAGTTGCAAGGTAGAGCAACTCAACTACAAGTGGCTTAAACAAAATGGGAGTTTTATTTGTATTCTAGAAAAGTCCAAGATAGATCAGTCTTCAGTCATGGCTGGATCCCGGTGCTCAGATGATGTCATGTGAGTTCTTATCCCTCTTCCTCACTCAGCTCTGGTTCAACATGACCACCAGCGGCCCCAGACTTACATTCTGCCGGCTAGACACATCCCTGGGGGAACGTGTGCTTCTTTCCCAGAAGTCTTTTGAAAAGTTCCAGGCTTGCCGGGCGCAGTGGCTCACTCCTGTAATCCCAGCACTTTGGGAGGCTAAGACGGGCAGATCACGAGGTCAGGAGATCAAGACCATCCTGGCTAACACGGTGAAACCCCCTCTCTACTAAAAATACAAAAATTAGCCAGGCGTGGTGGCGGGCGCCTGTAGTCCCAGCTACATGGGAGGCTGAGGCAGGAGAATGGCGTGAACCTGGGAGGCGGAGCTTGCAGTGAGTGGAGATCGCGCCACTGCACTCCAGCCTGGGTGACAGAGCGAGACTTCGTCTCAAAAAAAAAAAAAAAGAAAAGTCCAGGCTTGCATCTCAATAGCCCAAATTGGATTTAGTTTCCATCCCTATACCAATAAGGGTGCCTCCAATTGGCCAGGCCTTGATCACACACTCCTGAAGCAGGGTGGGGTAAGGCAGACTCCAATCAAACTACACGGACTTAAAAAAAAAAAAAAGGATGATATTACCAGAAAGGAAAATGGTTTGGCAACAGCAAAGGATGCCTGTTACAGTGGAATGCCTATGTAATGGTGAAATAAATAAGAGGGAGAAAAGAAAGGCAGCAGCTGGTAGGATGCTGGCAGAGGGCAATGAACAGGTCTGTCCTAAGTGAACTCAGGTCGGCAGGCTTGGTTCTCAAACCAGCTGCCTTGATTAATGGTAAAAACAATAACGTTTCAAGACCTGAAACACATCTCCTTAAATTTCATTGAAGTGTCCAGTAAGTGCTGATGTTTATGGATGTTACCATCACCCAGGGTTGCTGTTGCCCCTGGACAGCCCGGTAAGCAGGCAGCTGTCTATCAGGACTAAAGGAAAGAGGTTCGAAAGCCAATGTGGAGAAGTCGAGAACTTGGCTTGTGTAGTGCATCATAAAGGAAGGAGGGAAGAGGGAGAAGCCTTGGCAATTGGTTTTTAATATTTTTGCTTGTTTTGGATGCCACAAAAGCCTCATGTATTGGCTCTTGACTAATAAAAACAGAGGGGAAGCCAGGCTGGAAACCTGGCTGTGTTTCTGTGCACAATTAGGTTTGTTTGTTTAGGTCTCTTTTTATTTGTTTTCAGATGACTCAGATATGAATACTGCAGGCCTTTCAGAGTGAAGTGTTCATATGTGTATTTTAGGTCTAGGGCTTCGCCAAGTGCAGAAAGACTTGGCTCCCTGAGGTTATTTTCCTATCCAGGGGTTTTTCAAACTTTCAAGTGGAGCTGAAGAATGCTGTTGCAAGCCAGGTTCTTTTTCTTAGCAGACCCCAGCTTGGGGTTGTAGGGGGGACAGGGATTGCAAAAATACAAACACAAAAATCCCCAAACAGTGCACAAGGGCACCCATTGTGCTGATCCCGGCACTGCCTCTCCCTGATGGCTTTACCATCTGCATACTTCCGTCCTCTCTGGAAACCTCTTCACGAGTCTGCCTCCCTTTCACCAGACAACCAAGTCCAGAGGTATACTCTCCCTTCCTCTCCCTCTGGATCTGTCTACAAACTGTTCTGCTTTCAAGATTCTCCTTTTTCATTGCCATAGTTTGGAGTCTGAAGCCTCCTATAAAATGCAGAGGTATTTACAATCTGGGTAGCTGCCAAGCACCTGGCTGAGCTCCTACCCCTAAGGGTGGTGTCTCCTGCAGGTTTGCTTCTAGCCAGTTGACCCAGCGTCCAGGGCGTTGGGAGGGGTCTAGGGAGAGGTTGAGCAGTAGTCTTTCCCCCAAGATGATCAGGATGCAAACCAGGCAATGATGAAGACCACTCTGGTCTCCCTTCTTGGAGATAAGACTTCTTTCCAGTATCCCTGCCTCTACATTGATGAATCAGAGAATAGGGACAGCCGAAAGTGGTCCCAGTTGTTTTCAAATACTCAGGATCTATATAGGCACCAGAAGCAGGTTTCCTAAGCTCCCTGGAAGCTGGTCACAGCCTAAGAGTCTCTAACAACCTCCCTTGCTC